CACTGACCTCGACGGCCCATTGGTTGATCATTGACCAATAGAAATCAATTTATAGGAAAAACGACTTTCTGAGACAAAGTGTTAGGTCGAAGAGTTCAAATCTGAGATCAATACGCTTCCAAATCCTATTAGATGATCAGTAGGCAATAGAATTGAAAGGTTTATAGAAAAGATTTGCCAGGCAAATTTTTATATTCAGACATTCGTCGGATGACCGGATCTGGTCATTCACTTTTCTTCAGTACACATAATCTCGGATATAAATTCGAGATTTCCGCATTTATTTGAGAATGCGATGTGATTGTCTGAGTTGACATGAATGCAGATTTGAGAGCTAGAGCTAATGTAAATAGTTGTACGTAATGTCATTCACGAGAATTCATTCTAACATTCATACCTTTTTGTTAATTTTCATGTTTTCTTCTTTTTTAAAACGAATTGTTCTGGGAAAAGATTGGAGTTCATTTTGGTTTGTACAAAGTGTACTACAACAAATATATTCAAAGCACTAACGACAGAGTATATACTATTATTGATTTATTTCTTTACTATTGTCATTCTTATTGAAAGATTCTTTATTCTTCGTTCTAATTAAGACCTTTTCGATTATTTTTTCGCGTACCCTGGAAATTCGCTTTACTCTCTTCAACATATCGTATGGTTTTTATGTATACGAAAGTAGGTGTCTATCATGCATACAAAACAATGTATCGATGGTGATATATGAAGTCATCATAATTAATGGTGAAAGTGTTTAGTTTTAAAATGCAATCTGATGTAGAAATTTAGCATTCAATAATACAAATAATTAAATATGATGTGTTTTAGATAATTTAGGAGAAAATCAAATGACTCAAGATAAATATGTGAAAAAAAAATCGTCAAAAACGTAGTATAACGTTTCTCCTATCTCTAATCGTCAAAGTTAATATCAATTTCAAAATGTATAAGGCTACTTAGAGATTAATAGTGACTTGAGATTCATTCAATATTATAAGTTATCGGAGAGAGAAAAACATAAATATAATTTTAGGCATATCATTCTTATCGATTCTATCAACGATAAAGAAGACTTGATTAAATATAATTCTATCGATCGAATTTAGATTAACTAAATAAATCAAATTTGAATACATGTTTTGATCTCTAAAGTTTATAGAATAACTCATTATAATATTGTTATTATTCATCCAATAATCTATATCTGATCGACAAATAGTTATAGTATAGAAAATGTATCATTTGAAAGCTGACTCATTCTGTTGATTTGAATTTTATATTTATATATGACAAAACAAATGAATTTTCATTCTCACATAGTTATGTATAATTTTTAGGAAATAAGAATCAACGTTGTGGTGATATAGATACAGTTGTTGTCCTTAATGTGCATACGGATAAAAATTTGTTGGAAACAAGCAGTGATTATCATGCATTTAAATCAAATTCTGATATCGTTTACAAACATTGTGTACATTTCAACTCTGAAAATCTATCAGGAATCTATCAATTTAATTTTCTTCATGAACAAGATATTCATCCATATTATTGTGTACAATTGTGCAATAAATATCAACAACAATATGCTCTACTTAATTCAAATAAGTGTTTATGTACAAATATCCAAATTAAAGAAGAACTAAGACAATACTCTCCGCTTCTACTACTTGATTCTCCTTGTAATCAACATTGTTTAGGTGATTACTTTTATTCATGTGGAAGTAATAGCAATTCAACAATTTATTCAATGTATACTAAACTGTCAAATTGCCCACATGGTAAGAAAAAGTATGAATAGTTTTCAATCAAATCAACAAAAAAAATTTTTATTTTATTAGATTTTCAAGCTATTAACGATAAAAATCAGTGTGTTCATCTTGGTCTTTCAGCAAGAAAAAATTCTTACACAACAGCACAATCTTATTGTAAATCTATGGGTGGAATATTAGCAAAAATAGATGACATTGTAGACATACAAGATCTTCTGCCTAAATATATGATATCACAAGATTATTTCAATGGAAATCAATTTATCTACTTTCAAAAATTACATGATAAACCTATTCATTTTTGGATTGATCGGATGTCAAATAGGTTAAATGATAGTAAGATATCCGATCGTTTCATTCGTAAATGTTTTAAAACATCAAAATCAATTAATCACAATTGTATTGTTCTTGATTATGAACAAGTTTTAATTGACAATATACCTGCTTTTATACTATGTTTATCTGAATCAGATGAATGTTCGTCGACATCTGCAGTACCTATTTGTGTTGACAAAAATTTAGAATCGCATTCAAATGAAATATCTTCAATGGGAGATAATGATTCATCAATCATAAAAATGAATACATTCACAGATTATTTATGCAGTAATGATACAGATTATCATTTAATTGATGATTATTGTTATAAAATATTATTACATGAAACGACTTGGCATAAAGCAAAAACTGAATGTGAACGCGATAATGCTACATTATTTTTACCCGAGAAAAATAAAGTAATTCCTTTAGTAAAAGAATTATTTTTACGTCGATATAGTTATACATCATCTGGTATTGCACATATTGATGTACTTTATGATGAACAAAACTTTACTACTACACAAAATATCACCAGTAATACAAGTACTTCGAAATCTGTATTTAATTTCGATAACGTTTATAGTTCATGCAAAATGTCATTCGTTGAAAATTTTCCTAGTTTATTGTCATTACTAAATGGAACAGAAAAAGTTATAGATAAACGCAAGTCTCATCAAATTGCTTGTGGATACATTAATTTTCAATCGTACGATTCACAGTGGATTTTATGTGATCAAGAATCTTGCAATCGACCAGCAACCATAATATGTCAAAAATCACCGACTATAATAAGTCATGTTATTTTAGCAAAAAGGTTAGTGATAATCAGTATTGGCATTCTTTCTTTCAGATTATATTATCTGCAAAAATACGTTGAAAAAACTATACAAAAGAGAATAATTATTATATATTTTAATGATTATGTTATATAACGTTTTACAGTATTCATAGAAAAGTTAATTTGCCGACAAATATTATCTAATATCATGATTATAAAACGTTTCAAAGATTAGTAATGGTCAGAATGAAATATAGTTCAGGAAAATAAAAGTTCACTTATTTCTATTCGATGACTATAATATTTTCTATGCAGGTCTCACAACATCAGATTGAGTAAAATCGATAGCCAAGCTGATTATTTCTGTATATCTCTATACTCTAATTCTAACCTGTTAAATTTGTATAACAGTAGTAGGATATAAATATAAAAAATAAAATTGCTCTTATCGATTAATAAATTACATGATTGAGAAATTTTCGAGTTCGTCTGCTATATAAGAATGTATATTTTGTGTATTTAAACATCGATTATTGAATTCATTTATTTATAGTGATTCTAAAAATGTACCAATCAAATTGACTGAAGAAGAATCAAATGCTCAAACATTTATTAGAAAACGTTCTGCATAGACTATTTTGATATTTTCAATTGTATTGGTTATTATGTTTATTAGATTTATTTATCCATTACAAAATTGTTAACTAAATTGAAAAATTAATCAACATCAAACACTTTTTATTCTTCACTATCATTGAAAAATGAATGTAGTTTAAATTAGAAACACTATTTGTATTTCTTATTCATATTATTGTTTCATTAAAAGTTTTCATTATAAATGAAATGTTTTTTCTTTGAATTTGTAAACACATTAAATGGGTTAGATGAATTTCGGCCCACGAATTTTTTGTCCCGTACTTTCGGCCCAGACCGAAATTCCGGTGATTTTTCGGTCCGAGTCGCAAGTCTGACAGGCATTTCGGGCCGAAACTTGATTTATCTAATTAATTTTATAAATAATTAGTAAACTTCATCGCGCTTAGCACTATGCACTTTGAAGAAAACGTTGCACTCGGCAGTATGACATGTTGCTCAGCAAGATAACATAGTACTCAGCAGTTAGACATGATGTCCGGCGAGATGACATACTGCTTAGCATTGTGATGTGGTGCTCAGCAGTACGGAATTGTGCTTGACAGTATGATGTAGTGCCTAGCTAAACAATCTAGTAAGTACTTAACACTGTGCAAATCGATAAAAAATTGGCAGGTCGAATATTGATCGAAACATATGTTAACGATTCTGTTGTGGAAGCTAACGCAATATTTAAGAAATGGGTATGGAACTTAGCAAGACGAATTTAGATGACATGATAATTGTAACGTTCGGCTATACCTGTATATTTCTTCGTCTATTTAACTCAAGGAGGAAAAGACGGTACTCCAGCTACTCCAAAGTAAATTTTGGAGTACAGCGGAGTATGGTTGGAGTACGACTGGAGTAGAGCAGAGTAGCACCGGAGTGGAGTGAAGTATTACTCAAGTAGAGTGGAGTATCACTGCCATAGTATGTAGTACCATCGGAGTACAGTGAAGTAAGATCGAACTACGACTGGAGTAACAGGCCAATAGAACTGAAGTACAAATGGATTACCGTTGAATACTGATTGCTTCTCATACTGATATCAACATTATGCTTTAGCAAATTGTTATGCGAAGATATGATTATAATCCTTTCAATACCAGTTTAAAAGATAATCTTGGGGTGGGTGTGGGTATGGGTGTGGGGTGTGGGTGTGGGTGTGGGTG